AACAGATTAAAATTCATTTCAACAGATTGATTTTCTGAAAAACTCTTAGACTGAAAAAAATAGTCTTTCTGTTTCAACAGATTAAAAATCATTTCAACAGATTGAAAATGCGAAACTTTGATATTGAAAAATTCATTGAGTTATTTTAACTTGTTGATTCCGTGAATCAATCAATTGAAAATACGACTATGTATGACCACTTATTATGTTGAGTGATTTTAACAGATTGAAAATCCTTTTCAACAGATTGAAAAACTTAGTTTGTTCTTTTAATACTTAGATGTTAGTTTTTCATGCAGAAAAATGATTTTCAATGGGATGCAACATTATAAGGCGCTTATCACAAAATATAATGGACTATCAAGAGATTAAGTGCTTAAACTAAAAACCTAATCATCTACACACCCACAACCTAAGCTATATCTATGTCTTCATCAAATCCACCAAGTGCTTCAACTAGGGCCTTGTCAGTCTCTAGGCCAAAAGAGGAAGGTTATCACCTTGAGTGGTGGTTTTTGACCATACCGGTGGGCTCATGGCCCTCACTGCGGAAAATCGTACAATGCCACCCACTCCCTAAGGTTATCCCACTTGCCCCCGGGTATAGGGGGAACTGTTGTGTGCAAGGGTTTGTGTACAGTTGTTATTTCAAACAATTGCATAAAGTAAACATACAACAATTATTAAAGCCAAACAATCAAGCATATTATAAAGCAAGGAATGGTAAAAGCGTAATTTCAAGTTTTATTTCTCAAACTAGTCTATCATTAAATGGGATCAACTCTCTAGCTTCCCCAGCGGAGTTGCCATCTGTCGCCGCCGTCAAAAGAGGCGGTCAGAGCGACGCGATGGTTTTGTTTGACTCGCGTTTTTTAAAGTGTGGTTCAACGCCTTTAGGTTTTCCGATAACCAGGCTGGACCTAAGGGCGAGGTTTTCGAAAAGGTTCAAGTAGTCGCCACCAATATTTTTACCAAAAACATTGGAAAAGGAAAAAGAAGGCGATGATTTTTAAGAAAAACCAACTTTGGTCATTACAACCAGAGTTAGGTAAGGGAGTTAGTTACGTGTGGGGAAGGTATTAGCTTCCCCACGACGCCCCTTTCGGGTTTCCTATGATGGACTGTTTTTATAAAGAAATAAGAACATTAAAACTATGCTTTTATCCTTATGTATTCATTGCAAAATTAAATTATCGACTACATGACCCTTAATAACTAATGCATAGAGATAATATCTAATGAAAGCGATAAAATAGAATAAGGGATATGAAAGAACCTTCGAAGCAAGCTTTTTATAAAATATTCTTGAAAAGGGCGTTTTTTGGCAAACTCCACGCTTTACAATGTAGCTCACTCTTCTCTCGAAGCACTTTAGAACGCTTCCTAAGAACTCTAGAACTCTAGAAATGCTTCAAAGGGGTCCTAGGAGAGTATTTTGAGAATTATGCAGTTGGAGAAGTTGTAGAAGGTTCTGAAAACGAGGTGAAGGTCCCCCCCTTTTATAGGAATTCGCATCTGTTAGGTCGGGACGGTTGTCTCGCCTTTGGCAAGTAGCGAGACAGCGGTCTCGCCAAATGGGCAGGCGGTCTCGCCTTTGGCGAGTGGCGAGACAACGGTATCGCCAAACGAGATGGCGGTCTCGCCTTTGGCGAGTGGTGAGACAGTGGTCTCGTCAAACGAGATGGCAGTCTCGCCCTTAGCCAATGGCGAGACGGTGGTCTCGCCAAACGAGACGATAGTCTTAACCCTTTTGGTCGAATTTCTTATTTTTTTGTGTACAAAAATCCTTCCTATTCTAATATGGCGCCTATTGATCAATCCTAGGAACCTTTAAGGCCTTGACCATCTTCGAACGGAAGTCTTCTGCTCTTTTATTTTGAGGTCGAACAAGATTTGTGGTCTACAGAGAGGACAAGTCGACATTTTCCTTCGAAGTAATCGTAAGCATGATGTTTGAAAACCCTTCAACCCATCCATCCCTCCTTAAAATAAACGGATTTGCTCCAGTAAGGTTCATCATTGCCCAAAATAAAGTGACCTCATTCTAAAGTAACTCCAATGGGTTTATCTTATCTGTGAAAAAAAAAACGAATGAAAAATAGAAATAAGTCCACTAGAGTGAAAACCCACAAGGGCGATCTAGGAAAAAAGCAGGACAAAGAAAATAAATAATAAAAAGGCAATTCATGTCGAAAGTCATCGAATTTTGTTATAGGATCAATCTTTGTGAAGATAAAACAATCACGATTTAAAGTGATGTGTGGCCATGTTTCTTTATCCCAAAAAAACATATAAACAGTATCCCTTGCTACCCCTTTTGAGCCAAAGAAAAATATTTTTTTGTCTAATGACCCCTAAACAAGGATCTCTCATATCAAAAGTCAACTCATTGTTACATCAAGTGCATTTAACAGTTGACATTCAACAAAAAAGGAAGAAAAGAGAACAAAAGAAAAGCACAAAAGAAAAGAAAAGCAAATCATCCTTCAAGAAATAGGATGAATCCAGAATCTGGAAACATCTTGAAGAAAAAATTGAAAAAAAAAAGAAGGAAAGAAAAATGTTGGACAAATCAAACCTGAGTGGTAAATGCTGCATAACTTGGGTTGACAATCCTTGTTTCAAATAACCTGCAAACACTATTTTGAGTCTTAATACCCTTTTCTTTCATAGCCATTAACCCACAGCCACGTTACAAGCCGAATAAAAGTCCACACTGATTAAGGATTGGTTGTCTGATTTTTGCAACGCTTGATCCTATGATAAGATTTCCTGACTAACGACATGACTGCTAAAAAAAGCGTAGAACAAAAAGGAAAAAGAAAAATTCTTAAGCTATCTTAAACAGTTGATATGCCAAGTGAAGGGGCAATTTAGTCGCTTTTGTTGTGCCATCGCCAAAATGAGGGGCAATCCTACCTATCACACCGTCCTCTTGGGGAAATCTTCTTCACTTCTGTCATAACTATCAAATGGGGCAATCCTTCTACTATCCTACCATTACCTTGGGATCAATTCTTCCTATGTTCGTCACCTTCCACCATCAAAATAGGGGCAATCATGTCCATGTCTTTCATACCACTGCTATAATGGGGGGCAATCCACACTTCTCCCTAACCTTTTGTCATTTAGCTTCCCCGCAACTCGAAACTAGAAAAACATTGCCTATTTCTGTAACTCCACCTCATGCAGTTTTTCCGGTGAACCTCCCTACATAACTTGGCATCATCACCAACTTCCTTCAAGCCAGTCAACTTTGCCAAACAAGCCATATCTCCAAACAACCAATCAAGCAAACATTTGATTCTTCAATGTTTCAAAGGAAAATGTTGATTTGGCCATACTTCAGTCATTGCATTGGGCTTCAAGATTTTCAAATGTCCCCCCACTTGCATTCTTTAAAGTGAATAAAATGGCAATGTTTCATGGATTTGATGATTACGAAGAAAATAATCGATCTAAAATGCTTACTTTGATAAAAAAAAATAAAAAAAAATTGAAAATAGAAGTGCATGAAAAAAAAAGATGAGAAAAAGAAAACAAATAAACATAGTGTTCTAGCCTTCTTATCATTAACATGCATTATGCATCCCTGTTTCTCATACATGCAACCATACATCCACATTGGCATCTATATCAATCGCATGCATCTTTGCCTCTTACATTGGAATCTGCATCAATAACATGCATCAGTCAATCCATAGAGTCACATTGACATTAACATCAACCACATGCGTCCATGCAGTGGCGGATCTTCTTGGGAGCTGAGGGGGGTCGTGGCCCCCCCAAAGTTTTGTAACTCCGATGTAATTTATGATTTTGGCCCCCCCAAACATAATGGATGTTTAATATATTTACTCGTATATTTACAATTTTATCCTCTCAGCCCCTCCTCAGTTTTGTAACTTTCATATAATTTATGATTTTGTTCCCCTCAAACTTAATGATCATTTAATATATTTAAGTATATATCTAGAATTTTATCTTTTCACCCTTTCATCTTCTTTCTTCCTTTTATATTTATTTATTATTTATTAATAATATATTATTTGGCCCCCCCAAGATCAATGGTCAAGATCCGCCACTGCGTCCATGCATCCTTATCCACATCAACAACATGCATCTATAGTGGCATTTACAACATCCATACATTCATACAAACATTAAATCTTATCGACGCATTCTCACATTTTGCATTGGCACCTCCATGCATTCGTACATTCAAATCAGCGCATGCATCCATGCATCTCCACTTGCTTGACAACACGTGCATTCATGCATCCTCATCTCTCATATCAACATCTGCATTTAAGCCCAACATCTGCTTAGCACCTGCATTTAGTCCAGTCTACCTGGCATCTGCATTAAAAAGTCCAGTTTTCCCTGGCAACATCAAACATCATTTTCGAATAGTTCGGATTGATGATCAGTCCCTTCCACGGGCGATCTATACATTTTTTTAAAACAGTTCGGATTGACTATAAGTTCCTTCCACGGGCGATCTATACATCCTTTTTCAAACAGTTTGGATTGACGATCAATCCCTTCCATGAGCGATCTATACATCCTTTTTCAAGTAGTTTGGATTGACGATCAATCCCTTCCACGGGCGATCTATACATCCTTTTTCAAGTAGTTTGGATTGATGATCAGTTCCTTCCACGGGTGATCAATACATCCTTTTTCAAACAGTTCGGATTGACAATTAGTCCCTTCCAGGGCGATCTATACATCCTTTTTCAAGTAGTTTGGATTGATGATCAGTACCTTCCATGAGCGATCTATACATCCTTTTTCAAACAATTCGGATTGATGCTCAGTCCCTTCCACGGGTGATCTATACATCCTTTTTCAAACATTTCGAATCTGATGATAAATCCCTTCCATAGGAGATCTGTACATCCATTTCCAATATACAGTTCGGATTGATGATCAGTCCCTTCCACGGGCGATCTATACATCCTTTTTCAAGTAGTTCGGATTGATGATCAATCCCTTCCATGAGCGATCTAGATAACCTTTTCCAAATCATTCGGATTGATGGTCAGTCCCTTCCACGGGTGATCTATACATCCTTTTTCAAACATTTCGGATTGATGATCAGTCCCTTCCACGGGCGATCTGTACATCCATTTCCAATATACTATTCAGATTGAAGGTTAGTCCCTTCCACGGGCAATCTATCCATCCTTTTTCAAGTAGTTCGGATTGATGATCAGTTCCTTCCACGTGCGATCTATACATCCTTTTTCAAATAGTTTGAATTGATGATCAGTCCCTTCCCCGGTCGATCTATACATCCTTTTTAAGTAGTTCGAATTGATAATCAGTCCCTTCCATGAGCGATCTATACATCCTTTTTCAAACAATTCGGATTGATGGTTAGTCCCTTCCATGGGCGATCTATACATCCTTTTTCAAACATTTTAGATATGATGATCAATCCCTTCCACGGGCAATCTGTACATCCATTTACAATATACAGTTCAGATTGATGATCAGTCCCTTCCACGGGCGATCTATACATCCTTTTTCAAGTAGTTTGGATTGATGGTCAGTCCCTTCCACGGGTGATCTATACATCCTTTTTCAAACATTTCGGATTGATTATCAGTCCCTTCCACAAGCGATCTATACATCCATTTCCAATATACTATTTGGATTGAAGGTTAGTCCCTTCCACAGGCGATCTATACATCCATTTTTAAATAGTTCGGATTGACGATCAGTGCCTTCCATGGGCGATCTATACATCCTTTGTCGAATAGTTCGGAATGATTATCAGTCCCTTCCACGGGACGATCTATACATCCTTTTTCAAATAGTTCGAATTGACGATCAGTCCCTTCCACGAGCAATCTATACATCCTCTTTTTCAAACAGTTTGGATTGACGGTCAGTCCCTTCCACGGGCAATCTATACATCCATTTCAAACAGTTGGGATTGATGGTCAGTCCCTTCCACAAGTGTGTTAGAATCGTGCAGCGGAATGTTTGCGTTTACGGACAAAAACCAAGAGGGGGGGTGAATTGGTTTCTTAAACAAAAATTAGGGTTTTAAAATTTTTCCCAAATTTCACCGATTAAAATGCTGTCTAAAGTAAATAGAGAAGGGATAGAAGATTACACAGTTGATTTATACTGGTTCGGCTCAAAAGACCCTACGTCTAGTTGCTAATCACTCAAAAAGAGGATTAACGCTGTCACTATAATCACAATTTACAAATAGATTACAAATGAAAAGATAAGGTAAAGAAAACACCTCTCTTGAGTCACACAAGAGATGAACACCTCCTTTGAATCCACAAAGCATGAAGAACAACTTTTCCTAGATACGGCACAACACACAATCTACCAAGAAACCCACTCAGTGATTCTTATCGCTTCTAGCCCATACTAGGTTTTCAAAAGCCCATTTTTCTTCCCTACAGAAGTTCTCTAGCAGTCACAACTCTTAACTTTTGTATGAAAAAGGTTTGTTCATTTGCAGAGAGCCTTAGAGAACCTTAAGTAGAGAGAATAGGGTCTGGGAATTGGGGATTTTCGAAAACAAATGAATTGGGAATAGGGTTTTCGAAACTTGGTCTGAATTTGAATTTCAAAACACATAACAGACACAAAGAATCGATTATCTTGAGTGATAATCGATTATTCCAGAGCCATATTCGCAGGGGAACAAAACTGGGCTAGGATAATCAATTATCTGACCAAATAATCGATTATCAGCCTGTGATAATCGATTATCCTGAGTGATAATCGATTATCACCGAGAGGATTTCCTAAAAATGGTTTTCTTACTATAATAATCGATTATCCAGGGTGATAATCGATTATCACAGTGTAATTTTGATAAAAATGAGTTGTTAGAACTTTTAAAGGATGGTCTATGTGCTGGCTATCTTGGACTCTAATATTATAGACTCAAAAACATAAAAACAGAGTTATTACATAAGATTACAAGTCTTCAAATCTCTAAGTTCTTTATTCTTGAATCATCATCAAAATCTACAAGCTTCGTATCCTTGTATGGTTAACAATCTCCCCCTTTTTGATGATGATCAAAATTTCCTTTAAAGCCCTTTGTAATAACCTGTATTATCTGTCACAGCTAACAAAAACATTAAACATACCTGACAACATTAAAATTATTAAATATAAGAGGCTTTAAATAATTTCTCCCCCTATTTTGATTATGATAAAAAAATGAAAGCTCCCCCTCAATAAGTGCATAAGATAAAAAATATCTCCCCCTCAATCAAAGCTAAAATAAAGTTTTTATTCCATAAAGCAAATGAAGTACAAACAAGAAATATGTTGAAGAGATTAAAACTCTTCACTCTCATCACTAGTACAAAATTTAAACAATTTCCTCATCCCTGCCTGGAAAATACATTAATAATCGATTATTAGCCTATATAATCGATTATTCCAGTACAAAATGCAAAAATTTTACAATTAAGCAGAGTTTAGACTATTTCTAATATTCCTAAGTCTCTTCTAAGTTCATAGAATCTATCCTTTGGAAGAGCTTTGGTAAATATATCCGCTAAGTGATGTTTTGTGTCTATATACTCAATTTGACAATTTCCTTTAGATATATGATCTCTTAAAAAGTGATGCCTAATCTCAATATGTTTAGTTCTAGAATGCATAACATGATTCTTTGTGAGATTGATAGCACTTGTATTATCACACATTAAAGGAATATTATTTAGAAAGATAGTATAGTCTCCTAGTTGTTGCTTCATCCATAAAATTTGAGCACAACAATTACTAGCTGTAATATATTCAGTTGTAGATAAAGTAACACATGCTTATTTCTTAGAATGCCAAGACACTAAAGATGATCCTAACATATAACATGTTCCACTAGTACTCTTTCTATCAATCTTACATCCACCATAATCAGCATCAGAATATCTTATTAAACTAGGAGAAGCTTCAGATGGATACCATAATCCAAATCCTGTAGTTGCTTTTAAATATTTTAAGATTCGTTTTGCTGCAGTTAAATGAGATTCTTTTGGACATGCTTGAAATCTAGCACACACACAAACAGAATGCATAATATCGGGTCTACTTGCAGTTAAGTATAATAGTGAACCTATCATACCTCTATACATAGATTGATTAATTTCCAAACCTAATTCATCCTTGTCTAAATAGCATGATGTTCCCATGGGTGTGTTAGCTTTCTTTGAAGTGTCCATTCCAAATTTCTTGAGAATCTCTTTGCAGTATTTGGTTTGAGACACAAAAATGCCATCTTTAAGTTGTTTAATTTGAAGTCCAAGGAAGAATGTTAATTCTCCCATCATTGACATTTCAACTTCACCCTGCATTATCTTAGCAAATCCTTCACACAGAGAATTACCAGTTGATCCAAAAATAATATCATCAACATATACTTGAACTAACAGAATATGTTCCTTAACTTTCTTAATAAATAGGGTGGAATCAATTTTTCCTCTAGAAAAGTCATTTGAAATTAGAAAACTACTTAATCTTTCATACCAAGACCTAGGAGCTTGTTTCAAACCATATAAAGTTTTCTTCAATTTAAAAATGTGATTGGGATATTTAAAATATTCAAATCCAGGGGGTTGTTCCACATATACTTCCTCTTTGATAAACCCATTCAAAAATTCACTTTTAACATCCATTTGATAAAGTTAAAATTTCATCAATGAAGCATAAGCAAGAAGTAGGCGTATAGCCTCTAACCTGGCAACAGGAGCATAAGTTTCATCATAACCAATGCCTTCCTCTTGACAGTAACCTTTGGCAACAAGTCTGGCTTTGTTCTTTGTTATATTTCCAACTTCATCAAGTTTGTTACTAAATACCCATTTTGTTCCAATCAATTGATGAGATTCTTCTATTGGAATTATTTCCCAAACTTGATTTCTTTCAAATTGATTAAGTTCTTCTTGCATTGTTGTGCACCATTGGTCATCTTTAAGAGCTTCTTCAACACTTTTGGGTTCTATCTGTGAAACAAAAGCTACAGACATACAGAAATTTGCCATATTTCTAGTTCTTATCCCTTTTGAGATATCACCAATTATATTGTCCATTGAAAGTCCTCTTGGTGAATGTCATTCTTTTGCTACTTCAGTTGGTTAAGATGACTAATTTTCATTCAAGTACATTTCTTCTAGAGCCTCTCTTATGTACTCATCATCACCTGCAAATTCTTTATTTGACTCAAGAGGATTTCCCTCAAGGTCTACAATTTCATCAAAGGTGACATGTAAAGATTCTTCAATATTCAAAGTTCTTCTATTGAAAACTCTATATACTTTGCTAGTTAGTGAATAACCTAAGAAAATGCCCTTATCGGCTTTTGAGTCAAATTTTCCTAAGTTATCTTTTCCATTATTTAACACAAAGCATTTACATCCAAATATTTTTAAATGAGCAACATTAGGCTTCCTACCATTTAACAATTCATAAGGAGTTGATTTTATAATTGGCCTAATAAGCATCCTATTTAATACATAACATGCAGTACTTACATCATCAGGCCAAAAATATTTAGGAACATTTGATTCATTCAACATTGTTCTAGCAAGTTCCTCTAGTGACCTATTTTTCCTTTCTACTACACCATTTTCTTGGGGAGTCCTAGGTGCAGAAAAATTATGTAAAATACCATTTTTCTTCACAATAATTTTCAAAGTATTCATTTTGAAATTCTCCACCATGGTCACTTCTTAACACCTTAATTCTTAAGTCTTTCTCATTTTGGATTTGCTTGGCAAACTTCCTAAAGACCTTAAAAGCTTCACTTTTTAATGTTAAGAAAAATGTCCAAGTATATCTAGAAAAATCATCAACAATTACAAGAGCATAGTAATTTCCACCAAAACTTTTTATCCCAGATGGACCAAATAAATCTAAGTGTAATAGTTCTAAAGGTTTTGATGTGGAAATAACATTCTTAGATTTAAAGGATGATATCACTTGTTTACCTTTTTGACATGCATCACATAATCTATCTTTTCCAAATTTTAACTTAGGCAAGCCAACAATTAAATCCTTTGATATTAATTTGTTTAATTGATGCATGTTTATATGAGTCGCTCTCTTATGCCATAACCATGGATTTTCTTCCTTAGCAACTAAACATGTTATACTAGTGTTAGGTACACAATCCAAATCAATCAAATAGATATTATTATGCCTAATGCCTTTTAATGCTATATTTTCAAAATCCTTTAAATGTATGGTGCAAACCTAACTTTCAAAGATTACCTTGAATCCTTTATCACAAAGTTGACTTATACTTAGGAGATTATGCTTTAGCCCATCAACAAGAAGCACATCCTTTATCTCCAAAGTATTTGCACCACCAATGTTTCCGGTTACAAGTATTCTTCCTTTGTTGTTGTCCCCATAGGTTACATATCCTTGTTCTTTAGCTTTGAAACTCAAAAATTTCGTTTTGTCTCCGGTCATATGTCTTGAACATCCACTGTCAAGATACCACATAGACTTCTTGGATTTGGAAGTTTCCTACAAAACAAGAACATGATAAT